AACAGAGAACTGGAAAGGAAAATCTGAAACCTCGGGGCGGATCCCTGCTCGCCGCGGAGGGGTCCTCGGTGGTCGGCTAACGCGAGGCGTCCCGGCGCGGCTGAGCGCTGACGGCTGCCCCTGGTTCCGGGTGTGTGCGCCTCCCCAGGAGCACCTGCCGTGGGCCCTGCAGACCAAGCACGCACTCCTCCACCGTCCTGTGGGTGCGGAGGGGAGTCTGCGCCGATTATGCGTAGGGAAGGAGAGGAGAAGCCCCTGACCCAAGAGGCAGGTCGCCCTGGGCCTCGGGCCCTCGGAATCGGGAGTCGGAGGTGCACTTCCTGGGCATTTTATTGGTATGACTGGTCCCGGGCGTCCAAGGTCTCGGTGCAGCGGATCACGCTTACTGGACCCGGCGACTAAAAAGAGAAGCTGAGGAGAGGGCAAACTCTACAGAGGACCGGAAGCGGGGTGCACTGAGGTTCAGAGACCCGGGTGGGAGGAGGAAGTGCGCAACCCCGCTGGACCCCTGTCCTCTCACCGCAGCGCCGGACGGCGGCCGTGGCTGCACATCTATGTTCGCAACTGGCCGGCGCGCGGCTGCGTCCTCTACTCGCGGTTCTCTGAGCCTCGGAGGGCCTCGGAGGGCCGCAGAGCTAGGAGTGGGCCCGGGACCTTGGGAACTTTCCCTGCTGGGTCCGGTGTTGGTCTCGGCTCTACAGAGCCTGCAAAGCTGTGCAGAGATGTGCGTGCGTCCTTTCCTGGCCCTCTAGTTCCCGCACGCCTGTGCGCGTACGCTGTCCTCTGCAAACACATCCTGGGAAATACAGGCGTCGCCCCCTCCCACGCACAAACGCCAACAGAGAAGAGGGGTTCGCAGTCCGCCCAGAGACAGCACGCTTGGAGATCGCAGACGCTAGGCGCCGGGTCTCTCCCAAGCCTTCTGCCCCTCAGTGGGACACCGCAAGCGCTGGTGCGGCAGCCGCTCGGTTTTCCTTTTCCCCAGTCTTTAGGACCTGTGGTTTTGGCAGGCACTCGGAGCTCAGGCCACCTGCTTGGGCTTCAGGGCACCAGCCTGCTCCAAGTCTTCATGACCCTGTGACCTTGTTTTCTCCGCAGCTGCTCGCCCACATTTACGCCTATGGCCTCAGCTGGCTCAGCAGAGGCGTGGGGTTATGGAATCTTAGAAATTCTCATCTAAGAAAGTTAAGATACATCCGAAAGCTTGAAAATGCAACATTAAAAGAAAACATGTCTCAGTTTGCCTTGGCTGAAGGCAAAACTAGCTTTGGGCACTCTTCCCCTACTGCTTCTCGCCAAAAAGGTCTTGTAGGCAGTTTGGTCAGCAAAGCTGCCCAGCTCTAAAGTGTCTGCCACGAACACACCTACCTGGGTCGCCTGGGCAGTGTAGCTCAGCCAAGGCTCGGCTTTCTTCCACGTTGTGTGATTAAGTCAATGACCATGCAAAAGAAAACACAGGGGAAGCTCAGGAGGTGTCTGTATGTGTCCCTCAAAAAATAATGTTCTAGACTATGAGGAAGTCCTTTTCAAAAAGCAGTATTTGCTTACTTTTTCTTCAGATCTAAATTCAATCTTTGAATCTCCAACAGGTAATAAAGCCACCACAGTGAAAAGGAGATTCTGGAAGAATGGGACAGAAATGAAAGGGCATTCAAGTTTTTTTGGTTTATTTTTTAAAGTAAGACCCCAGGCAACCTGGGTTCGTTGGCTGCTTGGTTGGTTGGTTGGTTGGTTTTTAAGAAACTTTTGCTCCAGAGATCCACTATGTTCCAGGCAATTTAGTCAGCCTCTCAGGCATTGTGATTTAAAGATCTCTTGAGGCCCACTTCCTATTTGTCCCCAAATATCTTTCTTACTTCTTGCCATCAAATTTGCTCCACAACCAATCTTGATCTTTTCTCCAGAAAGCCCTGTTTAGATTTAAAAGGAGCCTGATTAGCTCACTAGAAAAAAAATTTTCCCCATGCTAGAAGTTCTTTTAAAGATAGCAGAACCTGTCTCACTCATTGTAGAGATAAGAAACCAAGATGCAGGTAAATTAATGATGCCAATAATGATGCAAGGTTATACTAGTCATTCAGAGCAGAGTTATAACTGGAATTTTGGATTGTTCTTCTCATCACACTTTGCTGGGGATTAGTGTTTCAAATTACCCAACTGTTGCCTAGGAAAACTGAGAGCAAGCCTCGAAGAAATGTAGCGCTAAAAGTACTTGGATAATCTTAAGAAAGTCAGCCTGCTTTTTCAACAACCTTGGTCACACTTAAGGATACACCTTTTTGCCTTGCCCCTGGTCTTTGCCTGCCTAATAATAACTTGTTCTGTAGTCACCTTAAGATAATGAAGTTTTTACAATCCCTTTAAGGAAAACCATTGAAAGCCTACAGTGAGACTCTGTGCAAGTTTCCCATTTCAGACCTTTTCACAAGTGTCTTCCTTCTGACATAGGGGACGGTTGGCAAGATGTGAAGGAAGGAAGAAAAAAATGGGAAAACACCTTCTGTGATAGATAAATCAGTGCAATATCTGTCACTAGAGCATCTATAGAGTGACTCTGAATATGCCCATAGATCAAATGCTTGCTACTCTAGGGCCTAAAGGATCACCATTCATTTGGTTTTGTATCTACTAGTTGCTGGACATACTACATGCACCTACATGTGTATACTTTGTTTAAGAACTGTTGTCAGTATATGAAGAGTACAGAGGGACTTTCTGTAAGAGGAAGGGCAGGGAGAGGAGGAAAGTTATCAGGTTATTCTGTATTGTGATGCTCCAGGGCTCTTTTTTTTCAGAGGCTGTGCACCTGCTCAGGCTTTTAGAAGGAAAGCTGGGACTTCCTATACCTAGACCACTGTGGTCATTTCACCTTGGTTTCCAAAGAAGCTCTCCATAGGGTCTCTTAATGGGAAATGACAGAAAAGCTGAAGGGTTCTAGTGCCCAAGATGCTCTTTCATGTAAGATTCACTAGTAGAACCTATAGTAGGGCTTTTCACCTGGTCCCCCAGACCCAGGCCTGAAGAATGGCCACTTGTGAAGATGCTAGTTATCCTGCTGCTGAAAACAATGCTGACATTCCAGGGACAGGTTAGCTGCATGTCCCTGAAGGCATCTTTGTTTAAATAATTTGTCCTTTAATCAAGAAGCTCAACACTTTTCAGATAAAGATGTTCCAAATAATAATCAAACCTTACCTTCTAACTTTAAGCCTCAAAATTGGCTTAGAGTAAATAATGCAAGTGGGGCAGGGTTTATCGCCCCTCTCTTCTGCTATCTCTTCTCAAAGTGCAGCCCTAAGCTACAAAAAAAATTTGAAAAACACTTTCCAAATAATTGCTTTGAAGAAAATAGTCATTTATTGTCAAAGCATCCAACATATCCGGATAATCTATAAAGTTTAATAAATCTTTCCAGGGATAAAAGAAACACGTAACTATTCAGACTCCATTTCACTGGCACAAAATTACACTTTGTATTAAAAGGAAATACATATTTACATAATGATGACATTCTTCATTGAAGTCCATAATCATTTCATGATACATGCACTTCCCCTGGAAATTTAAATTGAATGGTGACCGCCTTTTTATTTGTTTTGCTTATTTTGTAAGAACACAAACTGTAATCAAGAAATGCCGAAAGCATTTCACACTCCTCCTTTACTTTATATCTAAAATAAATTTTGCCCTTACATATAATTATTACATCTAAATCGTAAGTGCTTAATAATTTAAGTAGAAACGTATGACAAATGCATCAATATGTTGCAATATATGACATTTTTAAAAATGTACTTTTGTTTTTGGGAAAGTGAAAATGCGTGCATTCAAAAGAAAACCCCTCAACCAACCCACCAGATCAAAAAATCCACCATCCTGTCGTGTGTGTGTGTGTGTGTGTGTGTGTGTGTG